CACCCGTTACCATGTTGGCCTCGCGATCGATATGAAGAAATAGTCAACCTACAATATGAAAGGTTATATCACCGTATGTAGTGTCATGGAGCGCTACCACCGCCTCAAATGACATTGACTACTAGCAATGAATTACTTTCAATTTAAAATTGGGAAATATTAGCCATTTTGTTTTGGAAAAGATAAAAAAGTTAGCGATGGTTATGCCACATGAACAAATTTTTTATGTCTCAAGAGGGAGAAGTCCAGGTATTTGCAGTAGTATCAGAATTCAAACTTTTTTAGCTGAGCCTCCAAAGAATCATTTATTCAACACAGGTTGTTTGAACAGAAAAAAAACACCAAAAAAATTGACTTTCTTATTTATATATATTAGGTCATTTCACTTGATCATGTTATTAAAGACATATTTTATATCAAATAGACTTGAGTAAAATTACTGAGTTAAAATAGAAATAAGAGTATTTAATCGCTACCTCAAAACACATACAGTACCCTTTGCTAGTATGAAAAATTAGGCACAATTGGCATTTACATATGGGATTGTCTACAAATAAACTATTGATCTTTTGTATATGGAGGTCACAATCATTCTTGTCCTTTAAGTTTTAAAATGAACGGTTATAAGAGTGTCATTGAATAGACACAAAGTTTCAAAAAAAGATTATAGTGTGTAAGTCATTCTAAACCATCACATTTCACATATAATGAGTTAGAATGATCGTGACCTCTATGAACAAAACATAAATGGTCTCTTGGTAGATAATCCCTTTACATGGAATGATTTCATGCAAGGGTTATATAATAGTATAATACAATCATCTTCAAAAACTATGTTAGAGACATTTACTTGACACAAATTTTTAAATGTCATTCTTTTAACTCTAAAAAACAATCACAAAAAAAGAAATTTTGAAAAAATATCATAGAAAGTGTTTTTCTAGCCCAATTAATATAAGCCGTACATTTTAGTGAGATGGTTAGATATAGGCCTTATAAGGATTTTTTTATTCCAAAAATTTTTATATAGTGTTATCATCATTAAAAAGTGATTTTGAGTTTTTCAAGGCCTAGATCTTGAAATTCATTAAACGGACGGTTGAGATTCATTGATGGAGGGTATTAATTTTGACCATATCTAAGGTGCAAATTGAAATTTTTTTTTTTGTAAGATTGATTATGAGGATGAAAAGAATGTGTGAGCAGAATTTATGGCCATAAAAATGCCAAAAACATGACTTTATAAAAATATAGTTGCATCATACTATTATATAACCGTCGCATGAAATCTTTGTCCTCCTTTTTACAAATTATACATATAAAATTACGAATACCTAATGATTCCCTACCAGGACTACCAGGAGCACAAATTGTCCATCGCAGATATCGCCTAATAAATGGGTAGAGGGTGATGCATATTCCGTACCAGGACCACAAATTGTCCGTAGTAGGTATCCCCCAATCAATGGACAGAGGGTGATGCATAGCGTTCAGACATTGCAGCAATGATGCAAGTGATGGGTCGTTTTCATCACCATCCATCTTTGATTCGACATGTCGCAGCATTTATGATCATATAGGCATATTGATTTGATACTAGCTCGCAGTCAATTTTGAAAGGCAAAGTAATTTATGAGATCTTAGCTTTAGAAAGGGGTGTGGTTTGCATAAGGTTTACAACTAGCGTTCGACAATGTAAACCGGTCACGGAAACTGGTTGAGTAACCGGCAAACCGGCCGGTTGAATCAGCCTGATCAAGTAAGTCTCAGTTAGTAAATAAAATATTAAAAAAATAAAAAAATCTAAAATAAATATGAAAAATATATTTAAAGTATGATTAAACAAAGCACATCCACAAGTTGGAAATCAGTGAACAAATGGATTTTAAAAAGGGTGCGGTTTGTATAGAGTCGAGGCTCTAAACAATCAAAATAAAACGCACCTTCAAATAGTATCAAGAAACGTCGTTTCAATGCCGGAAATCTTTGTGATAGCCTTAAAATATTTATTTATATTTAATTATAAAATTTGAAGCTTAAAAAATAGTGTAGATCAAGCATACCTATGAAAATTTGAAAATCTTGAAAATTGATGGTCCAAAAATGCTTACAAGATACACTATTTCCAAAACTTGAAATCCATTTTTTTCTCATTTCCATGCATCTTGATATCGAGATCATCAATTTGAGAATATTTGTGCATCAAAACAACATTTTCTAGTGAAATTTTTAAGGTGGGCTCGAATTTGATTGTTTAGAGCCTCGGTTCTATATAAACTTTTTTTTTAAAAAAAATCAATTTGTACCCAGGAGTATTTTTGAAATTTTTCAAAAAAAATGGAATAATGCAAAAATAAGCATTCATGAACAAAACACTTTCCAATCTTTGTCAAAATGATAAGAAAAAAGCATTACAAACAAATCCCTTATTTTTTTGGGATTTTATATAGTGCTTTTTGAATATTTTTTTAAAATACTAGGATGGATCACCAAAACGGGCCAAAACTAAACACAGCCATTGCCTGGTTCCGATCTAATCGGCCGGTTCCGAGTTGAACCAGATGACATTGCGAACAGTGGTTGAAGCGTTAAGCAATCAAAGTGAGGTGCACCTCTAAACTTTATCATGAGATGCAATTTTGGTGTTGAAGATTCTTAGGATGATGCGATAATCTATTTTTATCTCTAATTATGAAATTTAAAATTAGAAAATGATTCAAATCAAGCAGATCTATAAACGCATGAAAATCTTGGAAATGAATGGTACACATAATATGTTGCAAGATGTACTATTTTTAGGATTTAAAATCTATTTTTTTCTCCATATCTATACATGTCTATGTCGATATGATAAATTAGATGCTTTTCTTTAGAAGGATTTTAGAGGTACGTCTTAATTCTACATTTTAAAGTGTCAACCTTTAATAACTTTTTTCCTTTAGAAAATAGCACCTTGTATCTCACTCGAAAATGTAGTTACGGCGCTGAATAGCATACAAATCGATCATCTCAAGCTCAACAATCATGGATGTAAGAAAATTGGAACCCAAGTCCTACAAAGGCCTTTAGACCATCCATTTTAATTGTTCAAAGGTTTGCCAAATCGGTACTATCTTTCAAACATCAAATTTTATATCAAAAGTGAAATTAAATTTGCTACAAAAGTTTCTCTAGTGGGAGTTTGAAAGTAAAAACTTACTAAAAGGTATAGTTTATATAAAGTATCAACCTTAAACAAACCAAAGTAAGATGTATATCAAAACTTTGTCGGAAGATACAAGTTTGGTCTCGAAAATTTCAAGGATGATATGAAATCTATTTTCATATATAATTATGAAATTTAAAACTTTAAAATTGAAGAAGATTGAATAGATTTATAAATATTTCAAAATCTTGAAAATGGACGGTACGGATAATGTGTTACAAGATGCACCATTTTTAGGACTTCAAATTGTTTTTCTTTACATCCATATATCTCTAGGTCAAAATGATAAATAGAGGTTCCAATGTCAAAAACAAAATTTTCAATAAATTTTTTAAGTGCGCCTTACTTCTACACTATAAAGTTGTTAACAACAACCCCACAAACTAAACTTAAAATCGGTCAAGATGATGAAATCCTTTACATGAAAAAAATCCGTAGATGTCTATTGGCGGAGGAACATATGCTTACATGGTCTCTACCACCAAATCTTTTCCCTTCAAGGTAATTGCACATGACTATGGTGGTACTGCAGCTAGTTTTTGGGACTTTTACAACCTAATTTTTTTTCAAATTATCCATGATTCACCTTGCTAAAAATTTTAGAAAAAAATTTAAGTTCAATATTCCCCTAATTTTAGGTCTTTTAAAAAATAGGGATTGTTTACAAAGAGACTATTTATCTTTTGTACATGGAGGTCTTTCTAAACATCGACATCTGACCTTAAAAGTCTTAACTTGGTTTTGCTTACATACATGAACTTATAACCTTCAAGGTCCAAATGTGATGTATATAATAGTCATTATGTTGTGGTTTCCATTCCCACTAACACTACCTCACTAACACCTTTAACTGCCTAAAATAAAGTTATCAAATCAACTTTAGACCTTAAAGGTGTAAAATCTCAAGACCTTAATTTTAGGATAATCTTAGGAAAAGATTCAAAGCTGTTGAAGGCCAAACTTTGGACTTTGTATGTCCGAAGTATGGGAAGTTTGGGGCAAAGCAAAAAAATTCAAAAAGAGTTTGAATGTAGAAACGTAATTTTGGGAGCGACTTTCTAAATAATGGATATTTGGGGGTGATATTCACATAAATTTCACCACAAATTATCTAGTGTCCCCCTTGGTCTTAATGGTTGATAATACAAGTCCACCATAAAATGATGCACAAGTACCCTCTAACAATTCATATTAGAAGGCGACGATATCAATGACCAAAATGTCATATAATATTCTAATTTTGGCTTATTTTCAAACTAATTGATTGACATGAAAATTTGAAGAAATTTACATAACACTTTGCTTTATCTATAAAAATTTAAAAATATAATTTGGAAAAAATAAATTGAGAAAAATGCCTTTGAACATTTAAAGGTATTTATTCAACTTATTTTCTATCAATATATATATATATATCATTGTCTATAATTTTGGATGCCCAATATTTAAAATTGATCCAAATTCCATAAAAAGATAACATGGAATATTACATGCAATAACAACCACTCATTTATTTTCTTTTAGGAGCAACTTTTAGGAGGGTGCTCACTCTTCAATAATCCATGTGTTCCTTTTCAAGCCGGTTTGAATCAATTATTATTCTAAAAGTATAAAATTATTACAAATAAGAACAAAAATATAAGACACCGACGATGTGGAAAGCATAGAATTTAAGCTTATATCATAATAATAACTAATTTGAGTAACAACTCTATTATTTAATCAATAGAAAAGATAATATATATAGTTTTTAAAGTATCAGACACAAATATATATTTTGATGTGACGTAAATAAGACATCAGCCAGCTCTTGTGTCACCTTCCACATCCACATGTTGCTCTTTGGTAAGTGCAACTCCGATCATGAATAGTAGGTCATGTAGGCACTCCCGATTGCGTTCACGACCTCGAGTAATGCTGCATTGAGCTCCAATCCGCCGCTCACCAACCTAAAGCACACTAACGAGAATCGCCTCTTTGCAGCCACCTCGAACCCCCTATCCGCTCGCACCAACATCTCAAACCGCCTTGCCTATCGCACATCATTGCTCCATATGTGGCTCTGCAACCACACCGCACCATGGCTCGGCAGCTCTAGCCACAACTAGATTGCCCTGAACCTTCGGTTCGAGACTATCTATCTCCCAGTCCACTATTGTTATCCGTGGCCTTGTTCTTTAGGAACTCTGTGCTCGTGCCGAGGGCTCGCACGAGCGTATAAGTGTCCCTCACCCATGTACAGCTGCAGTCCATGTAGGTCAAGAGCCACTAGTGTGGGCCTAGGCTGAAAGAATCAGCGAGCTCTACACCATCGAGGTAGTACCGGAACTCAGGACATATGCGCAATTACCAGCGTCGACATGGACCCATACCTAGTATTTGTTCGCCACATCTCCGAGTCGAGTCCCTCCGAAGGGTCCACTACAGTAGAAGAGGTGGTCCCAACAGTGGCGCACAAGAAAAAAGGGGTGAGCCCAGCCACCCTATCCGCCACTATTGCAGCTTCAAAAGCTCCTGGGGAGAGGGCAAAGTCAAAGGCTCCCGAAGTTGGGAGTACCCAGAGGTTTTCCGGGGAGATGCCAGCAACGCTGGCTGCCTTATTTAGGGCGGGCTGTGCGGATCTAGTACGAAGAGTAGACAGCATTATCCCTACACAAATATACAATGACAATAAAAAATAATTAAACACTATATATTTTATTTTTGCACTCCTGTTATTGGAAACCAAGTCGATAAAAAGAACGGTGCAAAGTGCAAACCAAATTAAAGGATGGGTTGGTTTGCTTTTTCTTTATTTTATTTTAGGGGAGCTAGGAACTTTATTTCCTTTTGGAGTTGGATTTCTTTTATTTTTATTTTTTGCGGTGGCCGGGTGGGAATGTTACACAATGTAGGGAGAGGTAGGTTATGGATGAATATAGGTTTGTGGAAATGTCCTACTGAACTTTGATATTGTCTTGCAGACGCCTGCTTATGGTGCTTCAGTGCTTTCAAGGCACGTTGATATGCGGAGAAAATTTTAGGAGATGGTAGATCGTGAAATGGGGTTATCTACCTCAAATATAAGCTTGAAAAGCATTCCAGAATCCAGACTGCAATATTTCAATGGAAATGGGCTCCTTGGGCATGAGGTCTAGCATTGAGGTTGACGTTCTATTTCCTTCCTATCTGGATTTCAATGTTGATTGTTGTTATATCCCCTCATTCCAATAGACCTTTGGCTTGAGGAACCCTGGAATTGACCAGATGCCCGGCCTTTTTTTTAATTAATTTAGTTTCAACTCTCTTTTTTTTTGTTTTTGTTTTTGAATGGCAACATATGACTTACTATTAATTCATATATAAAATACAAGATGTTCAATCAATGACACAATATTACAGAAAAGAAGTAACTAACAGAGAGGGAGTATGGACTCCTCCTTTAACAAGAACGTCGATATCTCCATTCGCCTCTCTATAACAATGTTGGACCGTTGCCATAGAGGTTGATAAAATATCTCAAATTTGATGAAAAATAGTCCTTAATCTCTAAGGGATTTTGGCCTTTCTCTTATTTCAGGCAATGACATTTACCGAGTCTCTTTCGATAATCCTATCCCCTTCCAAAGTGCATAGCAATTTCAAACCTTTTAATAAACCTCGTGCTTCTGCCTCATTTGCTATTGTGATACCATAAGGACCCGAGTAAAAAATAATAATGTGACCCAAATTATTTCTAATGAGTCCACCATAACGTGCTGGCCCTAGATTGCCAAGTGAACTTCCATCAAAATTAAGTTTGAAGGAAGTCACTTGTGGTCGTATACAAACAACCTCACTACAAGTGTTGATTGTAACACCCATAGTCGCCACTGTCGAAGGATTGCTAATGATATACTTTTAGGAATGAAGCTACTATCCTTATGTGCAAGGAACCAATCAGCTGCAACTACCAAAATATTCGATTTTAATGTAGACAGATCTGCACTTATACTATCAAAGACTCTTCTATTTATTTCATTCCACACATTGCAAAGAAGGCTAACCCAAATAGATCTTCAAAGGATAGTTCCCATATTTGAAATATCGGGTGTGATCCGGGTGTAATCTATTGATCAAGAAGAGCTCTGACATTTTGGGACAAAGGTAATGACAGATTGAGGCACTGACGAGCCCAATCCCAAAGATAAGTAACAAAAGGGCATGAGAGGAAAAGATGTTGTGAAGTTTCATCACTTGCTTTGCACGTTATACATACATTGGTGATAATAAACCCCTTCTTTCTCAAGTTGTCAACATTTGCTAATTTATCTTGACACATGATCCATAAGAATAACTGCACTTTAAGAGGCATATGCAATTTCTTAATATTGAATAAACCAACATGCAATTTCTTAATATTGAATAATAGGTTTTAGGTTGACTTAACTGAAAAGTCTCCCGAAGGGGTAAGATCCCAAATAAAACTATCATTCATATTTGGAGTCAAATATGTGTCATTCAATAATTCAAATATGTTTCAACTCAGGAATGCCTGTTTCGAAATTTGACCCTTGCGGTTCAGGGCCTGATTATGATGGTCGTTATTCATTTTAGCAAAAGGCATTCTCTGTAGGGGTCAAGAAAATCTAATCTCTCTTCCTTTTGGATCATGATTTAGCGATATTTTGCCAAACTTAAGGGATCTTTGCAAAAGTGGGGAAAATTTAATTTAAGAGGAGAAGTTAAAAACTTAAGGAATTAAGAGAAAAAAACAACAACAATTTTCCTTTTCCTGTAATTGCATGAGCATCTTCTTCAGTAACAAACTAAGCTTTTTAATTGATCTAGCTTGACTGTTCCATCCAGTAGTTTTAAGCATTAGGAAAACACTCGGAATTGAAAAGACTAATCCTTTCCACATTGATATGGTTATAGGCTAACCACCCAGAAAAAAAAAACAAAAAAAGAAGAAAAAGATTTTATTGTCATAGACTTTCGGC